CTGATGTTTCGGAAGCGAAGTGTTGGAGTGGCGAGCGAGGTGTCTTGAGTTCGGTTTGGAGTGTTCCGAGCTGCCATGGGCCAGCTCGGGTCAGCTTTGTGAGGCTTGGGGCCCAGTATAGTTCGTGCTCCTTGCAGGGAGCTCGGGTTCTCAGTAGGGAGCTCACTCTTAATAGGGAGCTCGGACTCCCAGTAGGGAGCTTGCTCTTATTAGGGAGCTCGGGCTCCCAGTAGGAAGCTCGGGTTCTTATTTAGGGAGCTCGGACCCTTAACAGGGAGCTCGGGCTCCTAGTAGGGAACTCGGACTCTTGGTAGGGAGCTCGGACTCAGTAGAGCGGTCTGGAGTTCGGGCTTGGTAGTGAGCTTGGACTTGCTTCTGATGTTCACTTCGGGCGCTCTACTGTCCCGAGTTGCTTGCTTTTGCCACATGTCGGGCGATTGCGAAGTCGGGCCAATTTTCCCTTCATCAGGAAGTACCTTGGGCAGCATGCTCTTAAATACATACTAGGAGTACCTTTCTGCTCCTCATTTGAGGGACATTTGTTGTATCGCAAGCTTGTCCTCGATTGAGGTTCTAGGAGTGAGTTCTGCACTTTTTTGCGTGAGAGATGGGATAATTATGAGTTACAACCTCTTTAATTGGGTCCAATTATGGTGTGAAAATTTAATGATGAAGGGAAACCCTTGGCCTCTCAATATGCATGGAAGCTGAGGTCATACAGTGGGGGAAGTGGAAATGAAATTATAAAGTGAGGAAGCATGCCAATTAAGGTACAAAGCTCTTCCAATCTCATGTCTTTAATTCTACATATCTTTTGTCAAGGTATCGTGTCTAAGACTCAATGCGAACATTTCATGAATCCTTGAGGGGGTGTGCTCATTGCAAGTTTGGATCCCCTACCCACACTCTCGTTATGGTTATACGTTGAATTCGCTCGCCAGTCTCCTTCTCATTGATCAACATCATTAAATATTTTCAATTTAATTTCTTGGAATCTTTTTGATATTAACATTAGGGATTATAGTTAATAAGGGCAATTTTTGGGTGTTATTATCAATAAAAATATTTTTTTTAAAAATATAATTTATAGAATAAAGTAATTTTTTTAAAAAAGTATAAAAAAAAGGTAAAAATACTATTCCTCTTATAGACCACCGAATAAATCTACCCATTGGTCATCCCCTCCACCGAATAAATCTACCCAAAGGTAATTTGTCTGCCTTTGTCCTCCCCTTTGGTCATCCTCTTTGCCTTCTTTTCTGCACCTTTGGTCATCCCCTCCACCTTCTTGTTTTCTTCTCCTTTGAAAGAGCTTCGTCCTCCCCTCTGCCTTCTTTTCTACACCTCTTGTCATCCCCTCCACCTTCTTTTCTTCTTCTTTGAAAGAGCTTCGTCCACCTTCATCCTACTCCTCCAAGTAGTGCATGATGAGGAAAAACAGAGACCATGCATTCCATTAAAGTGGTTTAAAGGTGGAAGGCGGATGAAGATCTTTCATGGCGATCTTGGCGATGGCCTTCGAAACTCCTCCAGGTAGTGCTGAGCTCTAGGCGCCGAGCATACTCATCTCTCAAAGTCAGGGTTTAGGAGGGTGGGGTTGAGGGGTAAAGACAAAAGCAGTGAACTGATTGGACTCTCCGGGAATCTGAATTTGGGACTCCGGAGATGGTAAAAGAATTCCTTGAAAGTTGGAATCGACACAAAATGAAACGAAGCTAACCGAACGGTGGTTAACTGAATGAAGCTAATCGAAAGAGTCCATCGAAAGAAGAAGAAGAAAAGAGTGGTGGTTAACCAGTGTAGATGTGAACACCGATGGCGATGAGGAAAATGGTGATGAGACCGAAATAGATGATGGCATGCACCAGAATGGATACACCACTTGTTTGCATGTTCCCAAACTCTACTATTCTGTTCCTTCCCGGTAGCTGGAACAACAACCTCGACATCAACAGCACGAACAACACCACCGCTACAACCACCAGACCCCAATCCACCATTCTCTCTCTAGTATCTCTCTTCTTCGTACAAGCGATAAAGAGCTACAGGTAATGATAAAAAATAAAGACAACAAAATGGACTGACAAAGCAGACAAGAAGAACAGACTACAAAAAAGGGAGGGGAGAAAATCTCCTGTCCGGTCGGGGCCGAATAACACGGGAAACAAAACTCCTCTTCTTCTTTTGCTTGACGATGAAGCTCTTTCATGACCATCAAAAGGAGGAAGAGGAGGAAAGAGAAAGAGACCAGAGGTGGGGAGATTTATTCGGTGGTATGAAGGAAGAAGAAGATGAATAATATTTCTACCATTTTTTGATATTTTTTAAAAAATTATCCTATTCTAAAAATTATTTTAAAAAGATTATTTTTATTGATAATAAGACCCAAAAGTTGCCTTTATCAGCTATAATTCCTTAATATTACAAGATTACATACTAGATGGAATCGTGGGTGGGGCACAACTAATTTGTGGCAAATTGGGATTTGTTCCTCATAGAAACATTCCTCACACTGATCTCACAGCGCATCTCACCTTGCACCGGGAATATCTCTTCATGAACAATAACATACAAGGGAGATGTCTCTTGATATGCAGCTTAGGCGTGCTGTGAGGTTGGTGTGAGGAGCATATATGGACTCACTTGTGACTTTGTGAGGCCCATTTGCCACATCATTGAGATTTGAGAGGTTCGGATCTCCGTATTGATAAACTCTTCCCACATCTTTTACCCAAGGACGCGCTCGTATTAGGAATATCTTGCATATCATTTGTGGGAGATGTTCCAAATAGGGTTGTCAATGGTGTGAACTGATTGAGCCTGAACCGATTGGGCCGATTTTGGTTTTTAATTATTATCAGTTTGGGATTGATTTCACCTAATCCCGAATTGTTTCTGATGGAGAACGATTTGACCCGACCTATAAAACGGTGACACGTGGACACTAACTCAGCACGAGCAACAGCTCAGCATTGTATCCTAGTGCGACCAAGTGACGGGCCCATGAAGCAGCTCGCTACATCGTAGCTCACAAAAGGAGAAGCTCGCCATAACGAGAGCTCCGGGTTTCCCGAGCTACCTTTGAAGGGATACTCCGAGGCAACTTTAGCTCGCGAGTTAGGGGAACTAGCTCGCCCAAGCTCCCAAGCAGACAAGTCATCCCAAGGACCAATTCTGTTAAAGGTAATCCTGAAGTATTCCGAGCTCGCTACAAAGTAGCTCGGGAATGGGCCGCATGGGCAATCCTCAAGAAGCTTCTACCAGATAGGAACACACCTATCCGCCTATAGATACCCCGAGGTAAAGACACCTCGGGCCAGACAGCTTGGCTTAGCTCGCCACAGGCAGCTCGCCGCTTATGAGATAGCTCGGCACGGGGTAACTCGCGAAAGGGTAGTTCAACATATCGCAGGAAGACCTCCTGCCCGACCACCGTACCCGACAAATCTGGGGACAACAGCCATATCCCTCGTCCGACAGCGTCGTGCCTGCCACCTTTAGAGGGTGCCTCACACCTGACAGGCACGTACCCTGCGATGATGGCCCCGCGCGTGCCACCTCAGCCCCTGCCAGTAACGGCTGCGGCAGGCTGACATTGGCAGTTATACTTGCCCTGTCAGAAGCCAGTGGGCTGGATGCAACGGATTTCTGTTATAAGGAGCTTATTATCAAGGGAGAGAGGTATGATCTTTTACTCACGCGCTATCTACACTCTTAGCCTTCATCTTCTCCTTGCTTCTCATACAGAATACTAACTTAAGTATCGGAGTGTTCCCGCTGGGCAACCCCCCGAGGATTCTTCTTCTTCTCCATCTCAGTTACCTTCCAAGAGTCACATAAGTGTCAGGTAGGAGTGACCGGATTGCACACCATCAGTTTCAGACCCGACCCAATGTATATATTGGCTTTGGCTAAAAGACCCCATAGGGTCTGGTTGATTCCTAGATCTTGATATTTCAGTCCCAGTTAGTTGTACCCAGTCCAACCCATACCCAATCAATTGACAACCCTACTTCCCAATTCCGTTCGGCCGGTTTGACCCGTGGCCGTGCCTTCTATTTGAAGGGTGCCAACTGCCAACGCAAGTGACCATCTCAACTAGTGGGTCACTTGCGTGTTAACAAGTCATGATTGGTCCGACAGATCGGTTCAACCGCGGGTTGAAAACACTGAAATGGCACTAAGGTTCAGATTCTAGAATTGTGGTGTGCAGTGCAATTTGTAAAGCACACAAGAAAATAGATTTGTGCGCGTAGCAAGTCGGTGGCCATAGCACTAGGCTACTAGCCATGGGGTTGCCGAATAGTTTTTTGCTGACTGTAGCACCAAGACGTTTTGCTTTCGCCGGCTGAAAGACGGAGGCCGCGAGCGGCAACTGACATGGCTGCGGACGGAAAACTAAGCATATACAGAGCTTCGAGAAGCATAAAAAGGAAGGAGAACTCCCTATATAATGCTCTTCGGTCGATTTACGAGGACTCTATCTTTGTCGGAGAAATCTCTGAGCTCTGGCCTGACCTTCCCCTCCTCGCCAATCTTCGATGTGGCCTCTGGTACTCTCCCAACTTCGAATCCACCTGTTATTTCAAATCAACCGATGGCCATTGTAACAACTGGTCCTTTAACACCTCTCGCCTCAATCTCCATGTTGCTCATCTTGCCGGTACATCTAATCCCTCTCCTCTCTATTTCTCTCTTTTCAAACTTCAAGCTTATAATCTCTTTTCGTTCCTAAGACGCTAAGTGGATCGAGTATTGGAAAGATGCTTGCTTTATTTGCTATATGTTTTCAGTGCTTATTTTGATTGATGTTTTATGGTATTTTCCTTTTTCATGGTTACAATTTTTTAGAATTGAGTGCTATTTTTCGTTTTTGTTGGGTAGGACAGAAGGGTGGGTGTATCATAGTTGATTCTACACGAAGAGGAAAGCGGTTTCCGGACAGCATGTCGAAGACGATACCCATATGGACCTGTGTCCTGAACAGGGCACTTCGCAATTATTCAAGGAAAATGTGCGAAAATGAAAACATTTGGAGGATGGAGACGGTAAGTACTGATAATATTTGTGAGGTCATGGCTCATGATTTGATGGTCATATATTTTGTACTAGATTACCATATGTTACTCATAAACTAGACTAGAAAGACTGAGTTCATAAATCTGGTAGCTAGGGTATGCCTCAGTGCAAGATATACATGGACCACCCGTATTTGTATGTTGGAAGGTACGGATCTTTAATGTTTTTTTTATTAAGAAATTGTCTACACCCATTCATGGCTAGAATATTTTGTCATATTCAGTGTTTTAAAAGTTGCACCTACGCACACTGGGAAGGCAAATTTTATGGCATGTGCCTCGCTTGAACCCTGCAACACCACTTTCAAACCACCTGGAATAGGGGTTCACCTCTATTCCTCCTCTAGGATTTACTTATTTTATGGTGATTAATGTTGCTGAACACTTAGGTGGGTGGCATGTTCAAAATATGAGCAAGAGAGGCTGGTCAGTTTGGGCAGTGATTCCCCTGCCTATCATTTGGGCTACATGGTTGGAAAGAAACGTTTGGCTTTTTGACAACAAAAAGAACTCACTAGAGTCTGTAATTAACTATGTTTTGATATGATTAGGGATTGATTCTCTGCTAGCAATATATACAATGGAGAGTTCTGCCATTCTTTTTTGTCTATAGACTTTTTTTGGCTTTTAATATAATGCAATACCTTACTTTACCTTTTTCGGTAAAAAAGTTAAATTATGAATACACTGTTACATCATCATTGGGAGCTTAGCATGCAATCAGTGCTGAAACATCACATAATAGATACCTGGGTAACACCCTCAACATGCTGTGAAGAATGTAGACAGAAACCTGAAGGCATGCTCAGAAAGAACAAGAGCATTATGGATTATTACCTTTTTTCTTTTTGTGTTGTTGGAACTTTAGTATCCCAGAAAATAAAACTGACCCCATGGAACAATATCAACTCAATTCAACTGAGTCTTGCCCCAACTATATTGGGCCAGCTACATGCATCCTATTCTTCCAGTTTGCTCTTTTTCAGTACCATGTCATTGTTAAGTTATGGGCCCTTAAATATTTTCTCACTCCAACACATGAAATAATCTGCATATCAAATTAGGAAAAAACCAAATGTCCATCACAAGTTCGTTAATTTCCATAGTAGAACACCCAAACCCCTCCTCAAGAAGGCATTTGCAGATTTTTTGTAAGAGTTAGAATCAAGGTTCTGCTCCTGCCAAAAAACAAGCTATTAGTATAAACCAAATGCTCTGCATTCGAATTTGAGGTGCATTCTACTCTGTGGTAACCTGCAGAGGTAAGAGTTGATATTGTTGAACTTCACTCATAAATGTTTATGCATTACCTATTGGTGCCTATTCATTTTAACAGGAGTTGGATACTAACGTGGCTGCCAATACTCAACTTGTATCTCTTGATTGGGATTGTTCCTTGCATCTTCCCCTCTGGATCTCCAAAACCGAGAGAGCATCTATTGAGGATCGTTTAGAGCAATGGACCAAGCAGTTGGAAGCTAGTGGTGCTGATGTTGGCTCTCTTGCTTTGTCCTTGAAAAAGCCTCTACGTCCCTTATGGATTTCACAAAAAACTGTTATCTGGTTGAATGAAGTTCCTGATTGTGATTCTTGGGATTTCACACCCATCATCCTTGTCTCTGCATCCTCATCAAGTAGCATATTTCAGCAGAGGACAACTTCAGAGTTCAGTTGGCATTATATATCAGGAGCAGGAGATGATGAAGAAAGTTGGGCAAGGGGCTTAACACCTAATCTTTTCTGGAAGCATGTGTATGATCTGATAAACTCAGGGCCTGATGTATGCAATCAGAAGGTAGCTGATATTGTAGAAAAGGATAGAGTTTATCGTTCTCAACGAGGACAGAGTGCTCCCCAGGTCACTGTCAAGCCTCGGAAGTTGCCAGTGAGTAATGGTCATACTGATAATGAAGACAAGTTTCTAACCAGTAACAGCCATATATCCGATGAGGATTCCTCGTTGTACTCTGAGATTTCAAACAGGAACACTCATGTGGAGTCCTTTGGTGAAAGTCATGCAATTTATTGGCTTGGTTCAACCAATCTTGCTGTGGGGGGAACTAGTCAACTTGGTATGCATTGTGCTGATGCAGATAAGTTTTTTTTGTTATCTTCTAGAACATGTGAAATTCCTGTAATAACGGTTTTGGTTATAAAATTATATACTTAACTGCAATTTTTGAATATTGTCAACTGCTGCATCTGACATTTATGTTAAAATGCTGTATGATTTTAATTCTCTTAAGGCTTTATGCTTTTCCTCATTGATAGTTGATAAAAGGAGAAATGACTTTTTATTACTATAATTTTGGGTTTTTATTTGATACTATTTTTATGCCTCCTTTGATATGTTAATGAAATAAAATGGTTTACACATGAGTTCTGACATTTTTGTTAGTTTCACCCCCACCACCAAAAGAAAAAAAAGGAAGGGTGCAACTTGGGTGGGCTTGAGCTGAGAATTTGTTAAAATTTGAATGGGTCTGGTCCGAGGGCCTTGGCCTGATGCTGTGTGAATTCTTCAAATTGAGTGCCCCCTAAAAAGGATCCATAAAGAGATATTAGTTGAAATTATTTTGCTACCTGTTTGGGATATTATCCCTTTTGCCATTTGTTGGAATTTGGAAAATATTGAAAGAAAGAAATAGATGGATTTCTGACTACCAAGAGGTTTTCTTTTGCTTTAATGTGGATGTTGGTAAGTTCCTAATGGATTGGGCTTTGGTTGTTGGAGAGTTTAAGGCGGTCAAGCATAGAGATTTTGTATATAGCTGGTATATAATATGGAGTGTAGGGAGTTGTATGCGGTAAACATCACATCTGACTTTGGGCTGGTTCTATACATTTTTATACTCATTATTTAAAAAAATTTTTGGGTTACCCATAGAAGATGCTAAAAGTCAAAGAAATAGAGAATATTTTACCATATGATATTTCTCTGCCCTGTCCAAAAAATAAAGCACCCCTATCTTCACTGTAAGATTTTATTTATTTTTATTTCTTACTGCGCATTAATCATAGAATTGCATGTGTACTTAGAAATCTTTTTTGGCAGCTTGGTCATGCATGACCAACCAGAAAATCCATTGCTGTTTTGTCCCTAATAAATAATGGGAAATTTGTATTAGATAGAATAGAGAAAATAAAAAAATGTACAAAAAAATCTAAAACAAGCTAGTATACTTTAGAATGGGCAGTCCTGCATTTTCTTTTTTTTTCTTTTTATTGTCTGAATATTGAGGAGCCAAGACCATTCCAATGCTCCTTTTCATTATTGGTAAACTGAACCAACAATTAGGACAAGAATGCAAATTAAAGCTTCTATTAAATACATGTAGACTCAATGCATAGACTCATTATTCATAAAAAAATGCATATAAGCTCATTGCCCTGTATTTCAAGATTAAAAAAATAAAAGAACTAGTGCAAATATATAATAACAGATTCAAATGCTTGAGAAATGAGCACTAGCTGTTAAGAGATGCTTTGAAATCTTTGATTTTGTGAACTCAGAACTGGGAAAAATGTTGCAGGGAGGTGAGAATTTAATGCTGATAAATCAATCAGCATCCTGGACTTATTTTCATTCATAATAGCATAGAACAATTTGGGTATTATTTCTTTCAACTTGAACATTGTTTACTGGCATGGTATAAACAAGTGGAATTAAAAATAATTTGCCTGCTCATTCTTAACCGATAAGGACTGCACAATGCTTTTCCTCCTTGTTCATGGTCACATAAATTACTATGATCTGTTTACTTTCTAGTTTTTTTTTTTTTTTGATAAATTACTTTCTAGTTTTTATTATTACCCAGTAATCTGACCCTTCTCTTCATTCTGTGATGCACAGCTGCAGATGTGCCTAATTTTGATTGCATATTGAATTGTGACAATGAGTGGATATCCACCTTTCTTCAGGATGGTGAATTGTATTTGCATTTACCTATGATGGTGTGTAATGAAAATGCTAAATGTTCATGAAATAATTGTTTATTTTGTACTTGCAAGTTTCAATCATAGGATTTTGATATTCTTTTGCTTTATCTTGTTGTGTTTGGTCAGACCTCAAAGTTGGATCGGTTTTCCTTGCTAAACAATCTTCCGTCTGCAGTTCATTTTGCAAAGTTGAACCTAAGAAAAGGGAAAACACTTCTAGTTTGCTGTCATACCGGTGAGAGAACAACTTATTGGATCTTAGCTTGTTATGTTAAATTGTCATTGAGTGTGCCAAAGGGTTATGTGTTAATGCTCACTAGTACCTTTTATTTGCAGGGGAAGATATTAGTATATGTGTATGCCTTGCCATTTTAACAACCTTGTTCGATGATAGAGGTCAGTCCTTTACTGTACTTGCTCCCTCTTGTCAAAATTTCTGAATAAATTTCTAAAAACCACAGTGCCCACATATATTATTGATTTATTTTACATCTCATTTCTATTGTTGATCTCTCTTGGAACCCACAGTATGGTAAATATAAACTGGTGCCGTTATGTTTGTGACAAACATAATATATTATGAGAATCTTGTCACTCACTACTCCACGATACTAGGAAAAAGTTGCAGTTTGTTTCTGTATCTCTGACTTTTACATTAATGCTGCATTTTTATATCCACCAGGAACTTTTGATGATGGGAAGTCCTTCAATGAAACATGTATAACCAAATTAGAAATGCGGAGGCGGTTAGTGTTTCTCTGTAAATATGCAATAAATGCCCGACCATCTAGAGGAAATCTGAAGCAGGTCTTTAGTTTTCTTAACAAAGGTAGAGTTGATTCAGTTTTGTAAAATAGACATCCGCATTTGAAAACCCAGTTGGTAGTATACTTTTGTTATGACTTTGATTCTTATGGAAATTGCTGGGGAAAATATGGGAAATGAAAGGAAGTGGTATCCGGTACCCCCCCTCCCCACCCCACCCCAAAAGGAAAAGAAAAAAAAAAAAAAAAACTCCTGATATTCTAGAATTCATAAAAAAATTCCTTGTCATGTTATCTATTTTTCAAGTAAACTTGTGTTAGGAGCCATATGGCGCTGTCAGTAGTCCAGGCCATTCCCAAAGACCTGATCCAGCCCTATTACACGGTCTACTAGTTTAGTTGTGCAGAATTTTGGGGCTGGTTTTACTTTTTACCTGTTCTCACTTGTGTATGTGTGTATGTATGCATGTATTATGTATCGAGATGTATGCATGCATGTATTATGTATCGAAATTATGTATGTGTATGTATGCATGTATTATAACCAGGATTTATTGAATCAGATTGGACTGGATAAATATATTACAGAGGGTCTGGCTCAGGTCCGTATGTTTTGATCTTTTTCTACCCTGACCCAGCAAAACAAGCCCACCACGAGTGACCAGATCCATTGACCCATATGTTAGCAAAATGTGGTACTGTTGGGATGCCCTTCTATAACCACCACGTGCGCCATTTACAGAATCTGAACCCACCATCAAGGTTGATTTGCCCTAGAAGATTACCTACCTGAAAAATATAAGATCAAACCACTTTAACTATCTGATTTGTAAATTACATTTAGGCTCAGTTTGGAAAGAGTACAAATGTAAATATGTACAGTGTAAATACATACAAAATATAAGGTTTTGCACTCTACATATTTGCATTTGCACTCCTTACAAACTCAGTCTTGGGGAAAAATCCAAGACATGATACCGGAAGGGTTTTGGCCAATCAAACCCTCTCTTCATGAAATTTTGATAAATACCACCTGCAATGGCTGTTGGGACCAGATACAGACTCCTAATTTTGGTACAAGCTTTTTTCGTAGCATGACTCAATTAAAGCAGTTCAATCAAAGCCTTTAATGCTTCCAAAGGGGCCCTCTATAACCTTGTCTCCTTTTTTATTATTGCGGAAAACAGTGGTTTGGTCATTTGATGCTAAGAAGCCCTTTCCCCCCTTTTTCACGTGGGAAAAGAAGCCGCCTCTTCGAGAGTTCACATTTTCTGTGACCACGGTCCCAGCACGCACCTGTACAAGGAAGGACATACATCAAACCACTGTTTTTAAAACCGGATCGGACCGGATGGTTGGACTGGAAAACCGGGACTGATTCTGTTTTCCTTCAAAACTGCTTTTTTCCCTAAAATTGTTGATTTTGGTCAGTAAACTGCAGAACGTGCCAGTTAACCGTTCGAACTGTTTAAACGGTTTTGGCTGTTTTTTGATTTTTGATTTTTTTTGTCAGAACGGACCAACCGTTCAGGTTGAACAGTTGGACTGTTTGAATCGGTAACCGGACCCTTGACCGATTCGGTCACCAGTTCGTTTTTAAAAACCATGCATCAAACGATCATTGATTGACTTTTTTTTTTTTTTTTTTATTTTGTGTGTGTGTGTGATAATTAAAAGCAGATCTGCAGATGCCATCTTATTCAAGGCTTGCCTCCAATATAACGTGTGTTTGAGCATGTGGTCGATATCCCCCCCTCTACATTGCAATTAACGCTTGTTCCCTGCAACCTTTCTCCCTTCTTTCTGTCATGCGTCTACTCAATGTAACAGTAACAGTGTAATACATACACACCAAAAAAAAAATAAAGTCCTGTCCTTCAAGGAACAAGAGTACATGCAATATGCAAGGTGTGAACGAGGTGGTTGGTAAGGTTTTCTGAATCTCGCCTGTACCTGGGTTGTTGGATGGGGTAGGGCTACCCCTGTTTTGTAGCCCTTCAAAAGGTATGAAGAAAAGAATGTAGAGATATATACTGCCAAATCTAGCTACATAGTGTGAGTTAGACAACTCCATTTTATTTTAAACAAGTATTATGAAACAAAGTGAGGAGTGACATATCTACTTATTTGTGGTTTCCAAATAGTCTTGGCATGCAAGTGGGTATCTTATATTTATGAAGGGTCAATACATTTCATCAGATGAGAATTAGTAGTGGCGGCACAAAGACAATCTAATCTAGTGGAAATTAAATCACTAGGATTTACTATCCTTGGCTCCACTTTAGCTAATGGCTGGTATGGCCAGAACTCTTCATGGGTCATCATCCTGGATTTACATGAAGCGTGTGCCGTGGATCCACCAAGCCACAATTAATGGGAAAACCAAGGTCCATGTTTATTTTTCTCAGAGTTCTGTTTCGAACCTGCTGCTAGCCCCATTGGATGTTTTAGATCAATTGATATTTTATTTATATGGAATTGGGAACTTGGAAGCCGTAATTTAGTTTTAATGACGTATTACCAATTTTTTTTTTTTTTTTTTTTTTAATCCCAAACTAACCGAAGGACGACAGTAGCCCGACTTGCCCCTAAACCATACTAATCTTCATGAACAGAGCATTAAGACATTATCCAAGCATGCATAGACTTATACACAAACTCAAACCTTCGAAATTCAGCTTTCAATGCAAGTACAAATTATAGTATTATTGTAAAAATTTGAAAAGCAAGCGAAGCGACTAGCGAGGTGCTCTTCTGTCTCCCACCGCTTGGGCTCGGATTACCACTTGAAGTCCCGTCCGTATTAAGAGTTTCATATAACCTCCTGGGGGAGGAATCCATTTCATGCACCCATTCCATTCAGCCTTTCTGCACTCTTTTGTCAGGAATGGGTATTTCCAATGAGATTTGTGAGTGAATGAATTTTGGGCTGAAGCTAAAGCATTGACAGAGAGAGAGAGAGATCATGAATCCAATCTTTGATTCAATTCGTTGAATAATAGGCTGGCACTGGCAGTCCATCTCTTTTCATTTATGTCTGGGCTGGCAGTATATGTATTCGCACCCTTAGTTACTACATATGGGTCTGTTATATAAAAGATCATCCACCATACAATCAAAACGAAAAATAAAAGCAACTATATATTGATGGCATGAAAACTGGCCTGAAGATGGATCTTTTTGTCTGGAGTGATAATTGCTTAATTAACTTGTAAAGGTGATGGCAATCAGATCAAATAGTTTTGCTCTTTCTAGTTTAATTTATAGTCTGTTTAATTAACATACAAAGAAAACCAAAGGAAAGAAAGAATGAGGGACAAAAAAGGAAGGATACATGCTTTTGTTTGTGTCAGTTGGTGAGGGGATTGGGTGGAGGGGTGGTTTCAAATGCTTCACATTTGTAGCCAATTGTTGATGTTGATTTGGTTGCTCAAAACAAGAGGCAAGGAGATAGCGATGGTTGGGATACAAATTTGCATTTCTCTGTAAGAGATGTGATATGTGAGAACTCGAGCCATTAAAAGTAAAAACATTGTTACTTAGTTCATCAATATTGTCACAGAACAGACTAGTACAGGAGTTACAATTAATACAAGTATATATGGAGGGAAGGTAATCAGTCTGCAGATAAAGTGGAGTATGCATCAAGGGGATTTTGTTTAATTGCCATTTGAATTAAATGATCCAGCACAAATTAAAACAGCTTCTCATTCACCTAGCTAGGTGGATACCCCACATGCTTAGATTTATTTACATATTCAAAAAAATTAAGAAAAAAAAAAATGTACGTTTTCTAGTTCGATCCAACTCAAAATGTGGACGCGTATTGCTTTCCAGATTTGAATGGGAATCTGTAATGTACTAGTATTTCCACATCATCCTATACACCAATCCTGGATTATCCTTGTTCGAGACTAGCATCCGTATGTACTAAACCCATCTAACTACCACGTTTTTTTTTCTTTGTCTATTGATAAGCAGCTAACATTAATTCAAAAGTAGTGGTTTGGTACCCGGCCCTCCATCCACAAAACGAAAAAAGGGAAAACAAAAAGATAGAAAGAAGAGGTAGTGGCCTGGGTCAAAATATCCACTCTCCGAGTTAATTAATTAATCTTGTTTTTATCTTTATTAGATTTCAAATGTTTTTTTTTTTTTTTCTTTTTGGATGGCACATGAGAAGGAGATTGCATATATACATGATCTATATGGTGGAATTTTCTGGGGTTGATTTACAATTGTTTCCAGCTTAAACCAACAAGTTAATAAATGAAAAAAAAAAAATTGGTTCCAAAAGTTTATCAAATAAAAAACAATTAAGTACTTACTTTTTCCATAACAAATGAAACAATTAATGGAGTTTAAACATCGAAGTATGGCTTACACTTATCATAAATCATTACTTCGTCTATTGAGCATATAAGCACAGTAGCAAACTCATGCAAATGCGCATAGAAATTTGATTAGACTTGGATTAATAAATTTAGGTTTTGACATCAGTTTGATTCTAGGTCAAAGTTTATGTTCAAGGTTGGCTCCTAACCCACTCAATCCATCTAATTTATATCAATATTTTATTAGATTTAATAATAAATAAGGGATTTAATGAGAAAGGAGGGAAGGAGAAATATAAAACAACTATTGAAGAGAGAGAGGAGAGGGAGAATTAATAATGATTTTATTAGAAAATAATAATGATAAATTTTAATAGAGAAAATTAAGATATAAGGTTTTTAATATTTCATGGAGAGAAGGAAACTTCATATGAAACCTTATTGATGAAATCTTGGGCTATGTTTGGTTTGAGAAAAAATGTTAAAAAAGGAAAGGAAAAATAGAGAAACCTTTGCAACCCGTGTATTAATTTTTTTTGTCTTTCCCTTATTTTCTCTATTTTTTCTTTCAAACCAAACATAATCTTATTGAAAGACCTTGGCTTCCACAGAGAGAGAAGACAAATCTTAATATGACAAAGTTGCCGTATTTGGAAACCATTTTCTGGCGGTGAGAATTGTTAAACTCATGGGTTGATTCGCGAGCAAAGTTAATGCTTGTACAATGTACCTGCAATCAGGTGGTTTATTTTATTATGCTAGACATGATTGTTATATATCTTTATTTGGTCGGTTAATTTGGATTGCAGCATTGGCACATAAAAGAAATTCGACTTGTCTCTTGCAACAAATATATGTTTATAATTATAATTAACCCCTTTAGAATAATTATTATCATGAGACATGAGATGGCTCCCATTAGTTGTAAGACATCTCATGGAAAATTATACTTGCGAATCTTATTAAATAATAAAGATAAATATTAATTTTACCTGCAGCTGCAGCTGCATGGGCGGATGTATTAAAATAATTTAATTATAGGAATGAAATGGTAGGATAGACTGCTAGCTAGAGATGATCAATTTTGACCCTTTTGAAAGCTTTAAATGTGGGCCATCTTAATGATGATAAAAGTATGATTATCAAGGCCATGATGGAGATTATAATTTTTGGATTAGAGTGGTAAAGTGGGTCTATCTCAATCCATACCACTATCACACTCTCAGGAAAAAAAAAGTAATATTTTAT